GGGCGCCAAGTCTTTGCTCAGGCGCAGAGGCTGAGGCTGACCCCGGTGCCTCCCGTCCTCTGTGTGGTTTTCCCCAAGTGGGCACTGGGTGTGAGGGCAGGCTGGGGGGCTGCACTGGACCCCAAAGCAGGACACGGGGAGCTGGGGGGAGGGCTGGAAGCCTCAGACGTTCGTTGTCACTTTATTGGTTCTCTTTGCTCGTGAAGATGACCCTCAACTCGGAGCCACAGAGGCGTCATGGCCCCAGCATCCGGGTTCCAGGCCCCCTGGAGGGGCCAGCTCAGTGATCTCTGACCCCATCCGCGTGTCCTCCAGGGTGGTCTGTGTGAAAGGAAGGCTCTGAGGAAATGGCTCAGCGTCGCCGCCTGGATCCACTGCCTCTCAGCTATGGAGTGTTTGTGGATGAACGCCCACGCGAGCTGCGGAGGTGGATGTGGAGCCAGGGTGGACTCCTCCAGGCCTCAGCACACCCGGGGCCCACGGAGTGCAGAAAGGGTACTGTGATGTCCCTGCCGGGGCCATGCCGTGGCTGAGTGACAGGGAGCTTGGTGGGCCAGAGGCCATGGGGCTGACCAGGCAGAAAGGGGAGGGAGGACCTGGTTCCTGAGGGACACGCTGCCCCAGAGCACACCCTTGCCACGCCAGCCAGCTCCTGGCACTGGAGAAGAGCACACGTGCACACCACAGGTGGCCATGCATGTGTACACACACATACACGTGTACACACGGAGATGAGGCTGTGCTGGGGCCTCCTCCACCCCTTGCCTTCAGCCTCGCCAGATGCACGGGAGAAAAGGAAAAGAAAACCTTGAGGGCAAGGCTGGGCACGTGGCTCCTGGTGGGACTCACACAGGAGGAGGCCACGGAGGCCTGGGCTCTGGGAGGCTCACGAGGCAGCCACGGCCCAGGTCAGTTTGGAGTTGGTGGCCCCTCGCCCTCGGCCACCCCAGGCTCCAGCAGGTCTTCGTCCAGCCCCAGCGGGTGCTGGTCCCCGTTGCCGACGGCACTGCCCTGGTCATCCTTGCTCTGCTGCTTCTGCCGTCGGGTCTCCTTGTACCTCAAAGTGATGTCCCTGGGGGCAGGGGGCAGTGTCATCACCTGCTTCCACACCAGCCCCCACTGCAGGCCCCACGGACAGCTGGCACCTCGTCCCTGTGGAGGTCCAGGATGGGCTGGGTGGGGGCCGGGTACCCTGGCCCTGCGACAGCAGCCGTGGCTGACTGGAGCCCTGAGGAGCCTGCATCCATCAGTGCAGAGTGAAGGACCCGAGGGCTGGGTCAGGAAAGGCCCCTCCCACAGAAGCAGCCAGAGGGCTGGAGCAGGGACAGGAGGCACCACCACCACCAAACTCCCACAGCGCCTGTGCCAAGAGACCCGGCCAGCGGCCCTCCTTCGGAACACACCCACCCGCCCCCACTCACCGCAGGAAGAAGCGCCAGACGGTCCAGGTGAGCACCAGGACGGAGCCGAGGGTCCAGCACTGGGAGATGTAGAAGGGCAGGGACAGGGTGAGTGTGTGGGGGTCGTACTTCACCACGATGAGCAGCTCCGTGGCCGTGATGGCCGCCACCAGCCACGCCTGCGGGCCCAGCTTCTTGTGGGGCTTCCTGCAGGGGTAGCAGGGGGCTCAGCGTTCCGGGCCCCCCAGGGTCCTCCAGGAGGCCTTGCCCAGGCCCCAGCCTCCCAGGCTCTGCTCCCCGGCCCCCTGCCCCCCAGGGGTGTCTCCACCCGGCCCCCTGCCCTGGGGGTGTCTCCACCCAGCCCCCATCCCGGGGGTGTCTCCGCCCGGCCCCCGCCCCCCACCCGTGTCTCCACCTGGCCCCCCGCCCCGGGGGTGTCTCCGCCCGGCCCCCCGCAGCCCTCACGGGTCATCCATGAAGTCGTAGATCTCGCGCATGGCCACGCCACCCACGTTCACAAAGAAGACGAGCCGCAGGAGGACCAGGTAGTGCTCCGGGGGCATCCACAGCACAAACTTCAGGTAGAACGTGTTCAGTTCTGCCAACAGGAACTAGGGGAGGAGAAGGTGAGCACCAGCTCTGGCCCCTAGCCCGCCACGCCGTCGCCAGGCAGCCCGGCCTTACCACCAGGATGATGCCGCACACGGCCAGCCAGCGACGCAGGCTGGAGGCCGGCTTCCACTCGAAGCGAACCCAGCTGTAGGGCGTGAACTGGAAGGCGATCCTCTTCATCTTGCCCCTGGGAACCACAGAGCCGGCAGCCTGAGGAACCCCACCCTGCGCCATCGGGCCACAGACTGTTCCTGGTCACCCGGCCCCGCCCTTCGCCAACGGGCTGGCTCTGCTCCTGGTCACCAGCCTCGCCCTGCGCCATTGGGCTGGCTCGGCTCTCGGTCACCCGGCCCCACCCTGCGGCATCGGGCCACGGACTCTGTTCCTGGTTACCCAGCTGCTGCCTGGCCGCTCTCCGAGGTCTAGCCACATAGCCACAAGCCCTGCCTCCCCACAGCCCTCTGCTGTTCGGTCTCTTCCAGTCTGAGCAGCGGCTGCAGCGCCTCAGAGGGCGCTCCACAGCGCCACGAGCTGGCCACGTGTGCAGAGGTGTCCAGGCAGAGCCGGGGCACCCACAGGCAGGAGGGGAGACCCCCGCCCCCCAGGCCTTTCCTTAGACTTTTGTATCTTTTTAAAATTCCAAAGTCATAATGACAAAGTACCAGCAACTATTTCATAACCAAAGCAACCAGGGGAGGGAGCAGCACGGAAGGATCCCAGAGCCCCTGAGCCAGGCCGGCCGGAGACTGAGGAGCAAGGTGAGTGGGTCAGACGCCGTGGCCACCATGAGGGGCGGCCAGGCTCAAGTGACAACGGGTCGGACGGGAGGTTCCGGGAGGCAAAGCCCCGCAGTCACCCCGCTGAGCCGCACGCTGGACAGGCCTGGTGCTCGGGGTCCGCCGGGGCACAGACGCTGAGGCTGCCTCTGGGTAACCCGCACCCAGCCCTGCCCTTGCAGCCCCCACGACGTACTTGTAGGTCGGAATGTTCCAGAGGCCCTGCCACTTGTACGTCTTCAGGGACAGCCACTCGAGGGTCTTCATGCCGCAGTAGATGCCCAGCCCGTTGCAGACAAGCACATCCATGATCCACTGCGGGGAGGGGCCAGCACTCGTCACAGGGGTTGGGGGGTAACGGGGCCCCTGAGGAAGACCCCAGCAGGGCACAGGGGAACCGAGGATGCCCCTCAGCCTGCACCCACTGCCCCGGGGGCTCTGCCGGCACCTACGTGGTCCCACCAGCACTCGCTGAAGTTGGGCAGCTGGTGCTCCAGGCTGTACTCCAGGAACTCGAACATCACGCTGATGATCATGCACATCCACCAGTCTCGGATCATCAGGGTCTGCGGGTGCCAGGGTCAGCCAGAGTGTGGGATGTGCTGCCACGCTCGGCCTTGCCCACGGGTGCACACGGCCCCCACCCCGGCTGGCAGCATTCTTGGAGTTGAGAGCACTGGCAGGACCCCCAGCGAGGTCTCAGGGTGAGTGTGGGGTGGGCGGCCCCCCAGCGAGGTCTCAGGGTGAGTGTGGGTGGGCGGCCCCCCAGCGAGGTCTCAGGGTGAGTGTGGGGTGGGCGGCCCCCCAGCAGCCTCGATGCTATGACTGTCAGCAAACAAGGCAGCATCCCCATGCCCGGGCCCTGACACCAGACTCCCGGCGTACTGGTCCCTCTGCCAAGCCAGCCGAGGCTGCGTGCAGGGGCTGCCGGGTGCGCTGCAGGGTCCAGCGGGTACTGCTCTTGGCCCCCCAGGTAGCACAGGGCCCCTCAGAAGTGGGACGGGGCAGTGCCTGAGCCCAGGTGGGGCCGGGACTTCCTGCCCTGCTGCCTGTCTCCGCCGCCCCCACCCTGAGGACGGAGTGAGGACCCGGCCAGGGTCAGGGCTCGGCTCCAGGGCTCCAGGGGGGTGCAGTGCACACCTCCCACCACACTCAGAGCACCCTGAGCTCAACCCCATGGGCCCAGAGGACGGGGCAAGCCTGAGAACTGGGGCAGGGTGGCCGCGAACAGGAGGTGCCGTACCTTCAGGTACCAGCCAAGGAAGTGCGCGGGAACGAAGCCATCCAGCTTGTCCTGTGGGCGACAGGGTGTGACCCTTGACCCTGGGGCACAGCCACCCCCACCCCCCACACTGGCAGGTCAAACCCACAACCGAGCAGCACCTGCCAGACGCCGGGAAGAAGGCCAGGGACTCACAGGGGCTGCTGTGGCCTGTGGAGACCACGTCCCTGACAGCCTAGAGAGCGGGGCCCGGCCATCGTGAGCACCACCCAAACGGACAGGGCCTCAGCACATCTCTGGGCCAGGAGGAGACCCCACATGTGGGCCAAGGGGCACGGGGGGCAAGGCAGGAGCATGGATGGTGCCTGGTCCGGCACAGGCCACACCTGGGGAGGGATCCACCTCAGGGCTCCCGGCGTCTTACCCAGACGTTGTGGAAGGGGTCAGTCTCGTTGTCTGGGTCATAGATGAGGCAGTTTCCCCCATAGTGTCTCTCTGGCAGTGGGACTCCCAGCTTGGGGTCAACATACTTCAGAAACTGCCGGCCGTCCTGGACAGTCTGCAAGGCCAGTGCCCCGTCAGTGGGGCTAAAGTTAGTGGTGGCAACTTGAAACGGGAGATCATGGTTGTTTATTTTTTATTTATTTTTTGAGACGGAGGCTCACTCTGTCGCCCAGGCTGGAGTGCAGTGGCGCGATCTGAGCTCGCTGCAACCTCCACCTCCCAGGTTCACGCCATTCTCCTGCCTCAGCCTCCAGAGTAGCTGGGACTACAGGTGCCGCCACCACGCCCGGCTAATTTTTTTTTTTTTGGTATTTTTAGTAGAGACGGGATTTCACCGTGTTGGCCAGGATGGTCTCCATCTCCTGACCTCGTGATCCGCCCGCCTCGGCCTCCCAAAGAGCTGGGATTACAGGCGTGAGCCACTGCGCCCAGCCGGGAGATCATGGTTGTAAATTGCATCTCAGTCACCCTGGAGGAGGGCAGCGCCCTGTCTCAGCAGCCCTCCCACCCCAGGGAAATCCTGGTGGGATAGCGCGTATAGAAGGAACCCCCGGCACGACAACCCAAGTCTCCACACCTGTGCTCCCCGGGGCCAGGTGGGCACAGGTGCGCTTCAGGACATGGGGGACTAGGACCACTGGACAGACAGCAGTGGGACGGGGCCCCGAGTTCCTGCTGCGCAGTCCCACCCCCGGCCCCTCCCCACACATGTGCTCCGGCCAACACCCTCACAGAAGTCACCCTTGTGGGGCATCACTCTTTCCTCACCCAGATGCTGGCATCAGCCAGATGCACCTCTTGGCCTTAGGGCAAGGCAGGCTCTTGGGCCTGACCTCAAGGGAGGTTTACATCATTTACAAACGTGTGAGCACACAGTGAGCTGTGAGCTGTGGCACCCAGGACCACGCAGCCCACCCAGCACCCAGGTCTCAGTCCCTAATATTCAGGAAGGACCCAGGGCTCTTAGAGAAGGGGTTGATTCCAGGACTGGGGTAGGGAGTGGACAGGAGGAGCCTGGAGCATCCCGCAGTGCTAGGAAGTCAGGATGTGCTCAGAAAACCAAAACAAAAAGCCAAAACCTCAGTGATGGCGTGTGAAAGCAATACAGGAACCAAGTGGAAACTCCCAAAGGCAAAAGAATTTGGGCACCATGATAAATACAGCAGCGCTGAAATAAATATCCACGTGCAAGACACGTATCTGTAATTCCGCACTGATATAAACAAACACGTGATGGAATACCTAACGGAAGAGAAGCAGGATCTCTCCCGTGCACAAGAGTTCCAGGTAGCGCACAGACGCACACTCCAAGGAGGGCAACGAAACTCCCCTCCCTCTGTGCAGGCTGCACCAGTGACCCCCTGTGGAGAATGCACTACGGATTGACCGTGGAAAGCCTGACAGACACACCTCACCCGGCGGTCAAGGTCCACAGCACCACGGGTGCATCATGGTGATGGTGCCAGTGTGTGCCGTCACCCCAGACGAATCATGAGAAAACATCAGACACATCCTCACAAACCCTGGTGCCAAAGCCAGAACAAGACATTCCAGGAAAATTAAAGGACAGTATCTCTTACAAATATGGATGCAAAAATCTCAGATAAAATGCTAGGAAAGCAAGTCTGGCAATATGTAAAAAGGCACACCCTGCGACCAAGCAGGATTTATCCCAGGAATGCAAGGTTGGTTCAGGATAAGAAAATAAATGTAATTCATCATATTAACAAAGGGGGAAAAACACCCATATGATCATCTCACTTGATGCAGAAAAAACATGTAACAAAACTCTTACAACCTTTCATGATAAAAACACTCAACCAACTAGGAATATACTAGAATGTTCTCTACTTGGTAAGGGAGATCTATGAAAAACTCTGAACGATCCATGAAAAACTCACAGAACGTTCTCCACTCGGTAGGGGAGATCCATGAAAAACTCACAGAATGTTCTCCACTCGGTAGGGGAGATCTATGAAAACTCACAGAACGTTCTCCACTCGGTAGGGGAGATCCATGAAAAACTCACAGAACGTTCTCCACTCGGTAGGGGAGATCCATGAAAAACTCACAGAACGTTCTCCACTCGGTAGGGGAGATCCATGAAAAACTCACAGAACGTTCTCCACTCGGTAGGGGAGATCTATGAAAAACTCACAGAACGTTCTCCACTCGGTAAGGGAGATCCAGGAAAAACTCACAGCTAACACACTCAGTGGGGAAAGACCGGATGCTTTTCCCCTAAGATCAGGAATCAGGTAAGAATGTCCATCTGGCCAGGCACAGTGGCTCACATTTATACTGCCAGCACTTTGGGAGGCCAAGGGGGATGGATAGCTTGAGCCTAGGAGTTTGACATCAGCCTGGCCAACATGGCGAAACCTCACCTCCACAGAAAATTTAAAAATTAGGTGCGGTGGCTCACTTGAGGCCAGGAATTCTGAGACCAGCCTGGCCAACATGGTGAAACCGTGTCTCTACTAAAAATACAAAAGTTGGGTGTGGTGGCACGTGCCTGTAATCCCAGCTACTTCGGAGACTGAGGCACGAGAATAGCTTGAACCTGGGAGGTGGAGGTTGCAGTGAGCCAAGATCATGCCACTGTACTCCAGACTGGGTGATAAAGCAAGACTATGTCTCAAAAAAACAAAGCCAGGCGTGGTGGCACATGGCTGTAGTCCCAGCTACTCAGGAGGCTGAGGCAGGAAAATCACCTGAGCCTGGGAAGTTAGAGGCTGTGGAGGTCTATGATCGCACAACTGTACTCTAGCCTGGGCAACAGAGCAAGACCCTGTCTCCAAAAAAAAAGAAAAAAAAAAGCCCATCCTTGCCTGTTCTAGGAAACATTGAGCTGCAGGTTCTGGCCAGCGCAGCTACACAAGAAAATAAAAGACATCTAGACTGGAAAGGAAGAAGTAAAACTCTATTTGTAGAAGACATAATCTTGACTATAGCATATTCTTAAGAATCTACCCCAACACCCCACAACTCTTAGAGGTAATAAGTTCAGCAAGGTTGCAGGATGCAAGACCAGTCACAAAAATAAGCTACATTTCCATACACTAGTAATGAGCAATGCAAAAGTAAAATTAAAACAGTTCCACTTACAAGGGCATAAAATGAATAAGATAACTGGATGCAAATGTAATAAAGGAAGTGCAAAACTTAAACCCTGAAAACTCTAACACATTGTTGGAAGAAATTACAGACCTAAATAAACAGAAAGCCATCCCATTTTCAAGGACTGAGTTAATATTGTTAGGATGACACTACTCCCAAAACAGATTTGCAGATTCGATGCAATCCCTATAAAAAATTCCACCTGTTCTTTCCACAGAACTGGAAAGGGTGATCCTCACATTTGTTTGGAAATGGAAGAGACCCAGATGATTCAAAACCATCTTGAAAAAGAACAACCTGGGTGAACTCACACTGTCCAATTTCAAATGTCACTTGAGGGGTATTCCACTACATTCCTGACCAATCCACAAAACTGTCCAGGTCACCAAACACAAGGAGCCTGAGAAACTGTCACTGCCAAGAAAGAGGAGCCCAGGGCGGCGGGGCGGTTCACAACTGGAATCCCAGCACTTCAAGAGGCTGAGGCGGGCAGATCATTTGAGGTCAGGAGTTCAAGACTAGCCTGGCCAACACGATGAAACTAAAAATTACAATAAATTAGTGGGGGGTGGTGGCGGGTGCCTGTAATTCCAGCTACTTGGGAGGCTGAGGCAGGAGGATCACTTGAACCCGGGAGGTGGAGGCTACAGTGAGCCGAGATCACACCACTGCACTCCAGCCTGGGTGACAGAGTGAGACTCCATCTCAAAAACAGATAAATACTAAAAGAGGAGCATGGGAAGACACATGCAACCTGCATGAACCTCAGAGGCACCGTGCAGGGCGGGAAGAGGCTGCCCACTGCATGATTCCGTGTACAGGACATTCTCGGAGCTAAGCAATCCCTCACCAGCAGTCAGGGGTCAGGGGCGGGTACGACTACCACGGGGTAACACAAATGAATTCTGGGGCCAGTGGAATTGTTGTACGTCCTAATTGTGTTTCTATAAGTCCACACAAATGCTAAAATTCATAGAACGTACACTACCCCAGAAAAGCCAATTCTGCCATGATGATAAAAAATCTGGTCACGCACTGACAGAGTTTTAAGACTGGGAATAGCAAAGTCCTTTGTAACCTGAAGACAGCCCCAAAATGTGTGTTTAAACTGAGTTAAACGGAACAGAGAGTATTAATAAAGTAAGCATTTGTGGCAGCAACACAGCCTGACCCAGGAATTACAAAGGAGCTGCATCTCCCACCCGCACCCGCCCGTCTTGCGGAAGGTGGTCAGGATGGGGAAGCAGCACACACAGCCACACTGGTCAACCACAAAACACAGACACAAAGACCCTGTCCCTCTGGGTGCTGGGGGCCCCTCTGAGGCCCAGATGTGCCCTGGCCACACACATGCTGGCCTGCATCGCAGGTCCCTTGCTGCTCCCTTCATGCCCAGTCCCTACCCGCACTCAGACAGCTGTGGGCAAAGCCACCCTGGCAGCTGCACCACTGGCCCTGCCCTCGTCTGTGTCCACACTTAGGTGTGGCCCTGCTACACGGCCACAGTCAGCCCCCCACCAGCAGATACTCCTGGAGGCCCCCCGCGGCTCGGCCTACGTTCTGAGGTCCGGCCCTGCTTCCTCCCATCACTCGAGGGCCGGGTGGGCAAGGCCTCCTTTGTCACCCTGCCTGGGGCCAGACCGTCACCTAAGTTCCCAGGTATCCAACCCAGAAACACGGCTTACCTGGAAGAGAATAAAGATGAGAAACAGCTCGTAGACCACACTCACGCAGAGCCAAAACCTCCAGTAAGCTACAAAGACAGATGACAGAGGTGAGTGCGCCCGGCTCCCGGCCCCGCTCAGCCCCAGGCTGGCTCCTGGCTCCTTCACACCCGGTGTCTCTTCTGGGCCCCTCACAGGTCCCTGGAGAGCCTTTATAAAGCTGTAACTGAGAATTAGGCACAATTTCCCTCTAAAAAGTGAATTTTTTTCTTCATTTTTCCCATTCCAGCCCTTAAATATTCGGCCTATGAACTGCTGCACAGAATCAGTCAGCAAACATCCCTGTCCTGTTCACCAGTGATGCTTCTAACCTTGCGCCATTAAGTCTGGAGTAGGTTTCTGGTGGATATTTCTTTTTGAGATGGAGTCTCTGTCGCCCAGGCTCGAGCACAACCTTGGTGCAACCTCTGCCTCCTGGCTCGAGCGACCTCCTACCTGAGCCTCCTGAGTAGCTGGGACCACAGGTGCCTGCCACCGCATCCAGCTAATTTTTTTTTTTTTTTTTTTTTGTAGAGATGGGGTTTTGACATGTTGCCCAGACTAGGATACTTTTTTATCATGTTAAAAAAATTTTTTAATTCCAGTATGTTAAGTTTTTGTCATAGATGAATATGAATTTTTGTTTTTCTGCATTTAAGGGGATTAATTTTTTCATGTTGATGAGTTACGTTAATAGACTTCTAATGTGAAACCACCCCTCAATTCCTGACTTCCCGCGGCTCTGAGCAGCTCATGGCAAGACACGCAGACGTGAGGTTTTAGGACCAAACACAGGAGGCCCCGACGTACTCAGGGGAAGACGGCCACCATGGCTCATGAAAAGCCGCCCTCCATCGGCAGGAAATACAAACGCCCTGGTGTTCTTAGGAAAAGCTGCTTAGGGAGGTCTGGGACCCAAGACAGACAGCTGAGATCACAAACTGATTCCTCACATGCGGGGTGAGAACCTGAACACTTCCCAGTGGCCCAAGAGCTAAAGGTCGTGGTGAGACTAACTTGGGGCAGCCCTCGCCCGACACTGACTGAAGGGGACACCTTCGGAGCAGGTGTCCGGCCTGCCGGCATTCTCTGACACTGACTGAAGGAGACACCTTCGGAGCAGGTGCCCGGCCTGCCGGCATTCTCTGACACTGACTGAAGGAGACACCTTCGGAGCAGGTGCCCGGCCTGCAGGCGTTCTCTGACGCTGACTGAAGGAGACACCTTCGGAGCAGGTGCCCGGCCTGCCGGCATTCTCTGACACTGACTGAAGGAGACACCTTCGGAGCAGGTGCCCGGCCTGCAGGCGTTCTCTGACGCTGACTGAAGGAGACACCTTCGGAGCAGGTGCCCGGCCTGCCGGCGTTCTCTGACACTGACTGAAGGGGACGCCTTCGAAGCAGGTGCCCGGCCTGCAGGCGCTCTCTGAGGGGACAGCTATACCCATGAAACCACAATGTTCTGAGTGGGCCACAGGTCACCACGTCTGGGGCTAACTTCCCTCCCCGCCACTGCCGAGTCGAATCTTTCTCACATTTCTCCTGTTGGGGAAGGCCCCAGATCAGAAAGGTGATCTCGGACTCCTCTCCCAACTCAGGCTTCACATGTGACCAGCACCAGGCTGCCGCCCCCGAATACCCAGCAGGCCCTTGGTCTGCATTCCTGCCTCGCTCCCCGGAGCAACTCCAGACCTCCCTGACCCCAGGGCCACCTCCAGCCCCCAGCACTCCTTTGCCTTTCTAAACATCACACCACAGGGGAAAGACAGACAGGCAGCCTCAGCAGCCCTGGCAACACTGTGGCTGACTCAGCCTTCAGAGGGAGCCAGGAAGAAAATGCAGTTTACACAGAAGGGGTGCCCGTCTCAGTGGCCCAGGACCTTCCGCCTCCCTCCGAGCTGCAGCCAACTCAAGTTTCCAAAGAAAGCGGCTCCCTCCACGGCCGGGCTGGGCTCATTTCCACTCTTCCTCATGAGGCCCAGTCGCTAATGGCTACGGCTACAGCCGCCGGACTGGGCATTCCTGGGCCAGACCCAGGGGAGTGGGAAGAAGGTGGGCAGAGCCCACAGGGACCACCTTTCTGGAGAACCCTTCTCCCTGCCCCTCCCAGAGCCTCCGCTGCACAGGATTCACTTGTCCACTTCAATGTGTTGTGACTGCAGAGGGTTGAGGGCTCCCTGCCGGCCCCTAAGTTAACAAGACACGTGGAAGAAGGTGGCTCCAGGACAGGCTTCCCCATCAGTAAATTGAAGACTGGCAAAGTAACGTGGAATTTATGCCAAGCAAACTAAACTAACAGAAGAAAGGTAGAGCAGAGCTCAAACCAAAACTGAACACCCTGGGAACTCCCAGCCCTGCCCAGCAGGAGGGGACAAGCCAAAGCTCAGAGGAGCCATGGCTGGAGCTTTCAGAAGCGTCAAGACCTTCAGGCCCAGATGCTCCACATCCCACCAGGGGACCTGCAGCAGGAGCTCCTAGACTGCACAGAGCTGAGGACCTCCCGGGAGTCTCTCCCTGTGCCGGGGCCACATGCCAGGAAAAGCTGCTGCCTGCTGACCAGTCTGCCCCACTCACGGCTGCGTCCCAGCACCCGGTGATGCCGGCACCCAGGAGGGATTTGGTGCATCTCCAAGCAAGGACGGCCACTGGCTGAGCTTCCGGCAGCTCTTCTTCCCTCCAAATCCACCCAACAAACACGTAACTGCACCAGGCTTTTCACTGTGTGACAGGCAGTTTTTAGACTATCGCTGCACTTTCCACTGCTCTGCTGAGCAATCCAAACCCGTCTGAGGCAAGACCGTCTGTGCTCAGCCGACTGGGCAGACCAGAGCCCTGGGCCCTTCCTACACAGCTGTCAGTCAGCAGGGCGGCCCACCAGGCACTCAAGGAGCCCTTTCTCAAGGCCCTGGGCAAGGAAGCGGCCAGCGAGACCAGCCTGCTTGGGTCACCGGACGGCTCCCCGCTCAGGGCCTCTGGGGATGGGGAAGCTTCACTCACCACCATGGCGCTGACCCTGGGGCAGACGCCGCTCTCCCAGGGCAGACGCCGCTCTCCTGGAGACCAATTTTATAACACGTATCACGGGCTTAAACTGTGTGTGTCCTATAATTCAATACTTACTTCTGGGACATTTTATTAAATGAATA